CCCTCTAGGACAATGACTATTGCAAACTAATTATCTATGGCATAACCATTCATAGGTTGGCAAAGCGTTATTCAACAACCTCCACCAAATGTTTTTCCCTTTGGTTTGATTTGAATTTTTTCAACCAACTTATTTTGCTGAAATTACTGTTTTGAGTTTTGTCCTTTGCTTCAAAAGATTGAGATGGAATGGTTTGTCCGAAATTTGTACAAATCAGTTCTACCTTGTCTTCCCTGCAATCTTCACATTTTCCATATGTTGAATAAGGTTTCTCATGTCTTTAGAAAAAAATTCTGTCATTTTATCTTTGTTCCATCTTCCACTATTATCCAATAAGAATGAAACTTTTTTATCATAAAGTTCATTTGTGTTGCAAGTTGTCGGCCAAGTGTTCAGACTTCTATCAAGTACCCAATTGTCACTTGTGATGTTTATTTTTTCTCCATTATAGACTTTCCATTTTACTATTGGTTTAAGATAATTGGCACCTTCTTTTATAATCTTCCATGAAGAAGAGGACCCCCTTTTCACATCTTCCTCCCAGATTGTGTCACCATATTTGCATTTCAGAATTTTTTTTAGTAATGATTCTTTGTTCTGTAGATACATCCAAGCAATTCTAGCTCTCAATGGTCCTTGCCTTTCCATTGCTTCTTGAATACCAAATCCACCTAAACTTGTAAGCAAGCATATAGTGGGCCAAGCAATGTAATGCATTCCTTGATTCCCATTTTCCTTGTGCCAGAGGAAATTCCTACATAGTTTATCAATTTTCATCAAGATGCTTTTAGGAATAAGAGAATGAGCCACATGATAAGAAATCATATTAGAGTAAGCAGTTTTAATTAAAAGAATCCTTCCAGCCAAGGATAACCACCGAGCTCCCCATGATTTCAGCCTTCCCATAGCTTTTTCGATAGCATTATTGTAGTCCTCTACCTTCAGTCTCCTTAATGCCAATTTGATCCCCAAGTAGTTGAACTCCTTGACTTCTTTTATTCCCATAAGTTTGTTTAACTTACTTCTTATTTTCTTAGAAACTTTTTTACCATATAAAATCATAGATTTGTAAGAGTTTATTGTTTGTCCTGTCCAGCCACAGTAGTCTTTAAAAATTCTCTTCAACATTCTAACATTTCTTCTATAGGCTTCAGCCACCACTTGGACGTCGTTAGCAAATAGAAAGTGTGTTACTCTCTCAACATTAGTTGCTAATCTTATTCCCAATTGGTCATTTTTTCCATGTAGAGCTTTTGATAGAAGATCAGATCATAAGATGAATAAACTCGGTGACCGTGGACATCCTTGTCTGAAACAACAATGTGCCATTATCCAACTAGTTCTTCTTCCATTTATATCAATAGAGTATTTAGGATTGATGACACATTGCATGATCAACTATATCATCTTCTCTGGTATTCCCATCAGCTTCATGACTTGATTTAAATCTTCCCAATGCATGTTATCATAGGCTTGCTCCATGTCCAGCTTTAAAAGAAAGTATCCTGGTTTTGCTACAAAGGATCTCATCTTACTTATGATCTCTTGAGCAATAAGGAAATTATCAGATATACTTTTCCCGGTATGAAAGCTCCTTGGTACTCAAAGATTACTTTTGGGAGACATATTTTAATTATGTTAAGGATCATTCCAGCAGCCATCTTATATACCGTGTGGCAAAGACAAATAAGTCTGAATTTGGAACAATCATAAGCATTTTGTACTTTAGGAATCAGTACCACTATAGTCTCCGTCCATTGCTCTGGCATCCTTCTCGTCTAGAAGAAGCCTTCTATTGTGTTCCAAGTTGCTCCCTCTACAAAATTCTAGTAACATTTGAAAAAACAGGCATTAGCTCCGTCAGCTCCTTGTGATTTATTGTTGTCCATACTCCTTATAGTAATTTTCAGTTCATCTTTTATGAAGTCTGATTTCATTACCTTCAACAGCTCTTCTTGAATGCAATCAATATTTTAAAAATCTAGCCACTCCTCCAAGTTGCAAGTACATTAGCTCCATTTTTTAGAAAAGAACTTCTCAATAATCTCATGGATTATTTCCTAGTTGGTTTTCGAAGATCCATCCTCTCAAGCTATTTGATTGATATGGTTTCTTCTTTTCTTAGTCGTTGCAAAGGTATGGTAGAAACGTGTATTCTTCTCACCCTCTTCCATCCATTGACTCTTAGATCTTTGTCTCCACCAAGTATATAGTCTTGATAAATTTGTGTTGAATTCATGCACCTTTCTTCTAAGGATTAGAAGATTCTCCTTATTCAATCCTCCTTCCATAGCTTCTCTATTTTGCAAATGCAGAATTTCATTCTGTAACTCTTGTTTCTTCAAGCTCAACTCTCTCAATTTATTTTTGCTCCAAAAATAAAGATTTTTGAGAGATCTCTTTATTTTCCTTTGACGTATTTCATATGCACTTCCAAAATCCTTCTTTCTCCAGGAATTTACTATGATACCCCTTGCGGCCTCATAAGACACCACAAATTCTCAAATCTTATTTCTCTATGTTTTGGCTGCTTTGTGTTATCAAATTGAAGAAGTATAGGATAGTGGTCAAAGGATACTTTTAAAGATTTTTTATGACTGCAGAAGAGAAGTTCATCAGAGATTTAGAATTTAACCAAATTCTATCCAATCTCTCCCAAATTCTAGCTAGGCCTTCTTTGTTGTTGCACCATGTAAATTTAGGACCATTGAAACCAATATCATGGTAGTCATTATTGGTCATAAACTCCTTCATTTCTTGCGGACCTTGTGAGAATATGAAACTTTTGCCTCCCATCTTCTCATGTTTATTCAATAAACAGTTAAAATCTCCCCCTACTGTACACAGCTCCTCACTATTCATATTGTCCTCAATCAATTTCCATAACTTTCTTCTTTCATACATGTTTTTGTTTCCATAAATAATACAAATTTTAACATTTTTTTTTCCTTTTGGAGTTATCAGCTTATCGATTATACATTGATTTGAAGAATCAATGACAGTAAATGAAGTTGTTCTGTGTTTCCATAAAGCAAGGATTCCACCTAAAGTTCCAATAGCTGCAACATGGAGGATCTCCCAATCATCTCCAACTAGTTTCCTGACATCCTCTCTTCCCAAATTTTCCATCTTTGTTTCCATTAAACCAATGAAGAACATACCATTTTTACCAATCAAGCTTCTCAAGTAGTGGGAGGCTTCTTTCCTTTTTGCTCCCCTACAATTCCAAAACATAATGGAAGACATTAAGAAAGTTGTGGGGTTGAGGCCCCAACCTTTTTTGCAACTCCTCCTTTCCTTGTTATATGATTACCTTTAATATGTCCTAGCATTTTCATTTCCTTTGCTAGTTTGACTTTACCGTTTGATAGTTTTGCATTGTTTTTACTAAATTCCATATTCTCCATCAATTGTAAGACTTTGTTCCCCTCTTCATCACCCTTGACAGGTTTATGAGTGTCTATATGTTCTACTTGAATCTCTATCCTTTCAATCAAGCTGTTCTTGATATGCTCCTCAACTTCCTCAATCTGATATAGAATTTCAGAATGGTTGCTGGTATGTACTAAACCATGATTTGGTTATTCTGCAGCTAAAGCCTTTGGTTTTCCTTTTATTTCAACTTCCATTTCTTCATTAGATGGGATTGTTTCATCTACATGTTCCATATCATTGCAATTCTCTGTTTCACTGATAATTTCTTCTTCTTCAATTATTATATTGATTTGGGTTCTCTGCACATCATCCAACTTATTTGTTTGTTTCTTTGTGGTTTCTGAGCTCACTATTTTTGCTATTTCCTTCCATGTGGTGCTTCTTGGAGCCTTTTTAACAAATGTCTTTTTGATCGGCCCCCTGTTATAAGTAGAAATTTGCATATTCCTTCTATAATTCACATGCACTCATGGACCATAAACATTGCTCCGTTCATTTTCCTGCATCTTATCCATGGGTTGAATGATTTTTCTTTCAGAATTTTAATTTTCCATAGAGCCATCTTTTTTGCATTCACTTTTCACATGTCCTATTCTCCCACAATTAAAACAAAAATGTGATATTCTTTCATACTCAAGTTTTTGAAAAAATATTCCTGCAATGCTCTCCTCCCATGCACCTAATGGTAGAGTTTGATCCAACTTCACTCGAACACATGCTCTAGCAAATTCTCTTCTTCCCCAATGGAACTTGTTGCCATCCAACATCAATGGGACTCCCACCCTTGAAGCAATTCTTGCTATATTGTTCTCATCCCAACATTGCAAAGGTAGATGAGGCATTTGTATCCAAATTGGTGATGTAAGTTCTTTCATGGATGAAGTAGAAAACTCCGGGGTCCATCGATCTATACCAATGATGTGTCCAATTTCGAACCAAGGGCCTCCCGACATGACACCTTCTAAAGCTTCATTGGATTTGAAAGAACATAGAAACCATCCCATTCCTAGAGTGGTGAAATGGAATTGGTCAAATTGAACCCATTGGCGTCTGAGTTTCCATGCTACAACATGAGGTGGCACTTATTTTCGAAACACCTTACAAACCAGAGAATTACCAAGTAAATTTGCATTTTTTTTATTTCTTCTTTTTTTTGGGAAAATTTGGGGCAGAGCCCATTTTATAAATAAAAAAGGATTACAAGTAAAGTAGAAGCAGCAACTAAAATCCTAAATCACAAAAAGAGGATTTAGGATTCTAAAGAAAATTACAAGAGGAAATATAAAAAACACAGGTTGGCTAAAAGCAAATAAGGACTCAGGTAGTTCTGGAATTCACTGAAAGGGTCAAAAACTCGAGCGGGTCTGTCCAAAACAGAGCCCCTGGTTGCCAGAATTGACCGTCCAAGGGGAAGCTGATAAACAGCATTCATCATCATCCTTCGCAAAAAACACCCAGGAAACCCATAGACAGCCAAAAATTGCAGGCGCCACAAAAAGCATCAGATTTAAGGCAACAAAAGACATTCTACACACAGCTTCAGAGAAGCACTCCCCCAAAAAGTTTCAATGTTGATTCCAGCCATTAGATTTCAGAATGATAGCTTTTCTGACTTTAGCTATAAGTGTGGCTTGGCACTCGATAATACCACCAAATATCCTTTCATTCCTAGCTCTCCATAGGAAGTAAATAGTGGCAGAAGCAGTTAGGAGGTAGAAATTCCTGGTATGATTATTAAAACCTTGCTCAAAGATACTATCATAGACCTGATGCAGGTTCGGCCTCATCATTAGGCTATTGAGCCAAGGGAGTAAAGTTTTGGCGACATTGAAAGTATAACTGCATTCATAGAATAAGTGGGAAAGAGTTTCAAGGTCACATTGGCAAAAACTGCAAGTGTTATGTGTGATAATCCCACGGTCAGCCAACACATCATATGTTTTCAATCCTCCTCTAAAAGCAAGCCAGGCGTAAATAGAATAACGAAGAGCAGCTTTTTTATGCCACACAAATTTGTACCAAGTAACAGTATCCAGGTTTCTATAGAAAGTTGTACGAAAATCCTGGAACTTAGGATTTTGTTTGCCTAGCCAGTAATGTTTCTCCTCAAGACTATCAATACTAACAGATTGAATGAGTGAAGAAATATGGCTGTCAAAAGTCGAGGGAATAGCCCAGTTATTCCCATTATTAATCTTAGCCACCTTCCAAACAGAGTATTGCGTGTAAGAAGTAGAGGAGTTCATTTGTTTCAAATGATCAGCAATCGACATACCACCACACCAGGGATCCCATATGAGAGAAAGTGTACAGGTCGGGTGGACAAAGAAGGAGATACATTTTTTTATACTCACAGCTTTATTACATAGAAATTTCCAGTGTTGAAGTAGTTCTTGGTGTAATCATTCCACAATGATTTATATTTAGCTCTCCACCAATCAAACAGTAAATTACTGGTATTTAAAAAATGCCAGATAAGAGAGCAAGAGAAACTGTGATAAAGAGAATCAGTGGAAGGAATACCTAAACCTCCATTTTCCTTTGGACAGCAAGTGTTATTCCAAGACACAGTGTATAGCTTTATAAGGTTAATGTTACCAAAGAAAGTAAATCTCGAGCATATGCTGGTAATCACTTTGCTACAATTTTTAAGTAATATAGATCCACGAATCCAGTACGCAATAGTATTAGAAATAGTAAACTTAATGTACTGAATCCTACCGCAAGGGATAAAGTTTTTGCTCTCCAACCTTCCAAAAGAGAAGTGAGTTTTTGCAATAATGGCTGAAAATCCTTCAGTTTTAGCTTCTTGTAAAAAATGGGAAGACCCAAGTAAGTCATAGGAGTGAAGGATTGTTGTATTCCCAGAATACCACAGATATCAGAAGCATAAGGTGCATTTTTTGAAATCAAAATGAAACTTTTCTGAGGGTTGACATGGAGACCAAAAACTGCCTCAAATTTGCTAAGAATACAGTTAAGCATGAGAGCATTGCTAGGAGTGGCAGAGCCAAAGACAAGAAGATCATCGGCAAACATAAGATGGGTAATTGAGCAGTTACCAGTTTGGATACCAGTGAAGCCACCATTTGAAGAGGCTAAGTCAAAGAAAGAGGATAACCCATCCATAATGATGCTGAAAAGGTATGGAGAAAGTGGACATCCTTGCCTAATACCAGAGGTTGAATTGAAATATCCTTCCAGCACCCCATTGATACAAACAGAGAAGTGAACATCCATAGTGTAGGCCTTGATCCAAGAGATAAACATATTAGGGAATCCTTTATCTTCTAGCCTTTTGTAAAGAAAGTCTCTAAAGACCTTGTCAAAGGCTTTGGTAATGTCAAATTTGGCACAAAAGAGCTTATGCCTAACATTGTGATTAAAGCTACTCAAAATGTCAGAAGCTAAAAGGATGTTATCAGAAATGATCCTTTTATGAATGAAGCCTCCTTGACTAGGGTTTATAATGTAAGGCATTAAATATTTCATTCTATTTGCAATAATTTTGGCAATAATCTTGTAAATAACATTGCAAAGAGCAATGGGCCTGTAGTCCTTGACATTGTTGGCATGGGATTGCTTGGGAATAAGTGCGATGGCTGTGGCTTTAACTTGGTTGGCCATGTAACCAGTGGTAAATAAGGAAGTAACAATTTTGCAAAAGTGAGTCTGGATAGTATTCCAAGTGGCTTTATAGAATTCAAAGGTAAAACCATCGAGTCCAAGTGCAGAATTGGTTTTACCAGAGAACACAATGCTTTTAATTTCTTCCAAAGTAACAGGTACAATTAGACCAGGAATTAGATTGCTAGGGATAAGATTACCTGCAGGAATGTCTTTATAGTGGAGGTTCAGGGTGGAAGGAGCAGGGGTGTTAAAAAGTTTGTTGTAATGGTTGATAAACACATTAGCAATATCACTGTGTGCCGAAAAAGTGCCCTGATCATTGGTAATCTCCTTGATACGATTATGGTTATGAGAAATGTTGATTTTGAAGTACAAAAACTTAAGGTCATCTTCACCCTGAGTAAGCCATTTAACCTTGGCTCTTTGGGTTATCCAACTAGTGAGAGTAGATTGGTAGTAAGCCAACTTAGTGTTGATTTCTTTCAAGGCAGCATTAAGGAGAGGATCCAACGGGCTGTTCTGAAGATGACTTGTCACATTGTGTTGTTGAGCTTTGAGAGAATCAATCTCAACTTGAATGTTATTGGCATTGGACAAGGGATTAGTCTTAATGATGTTCATTAGAGTCTTGAGCTTGTAATTGAAAGAGCTAAGAGGACTGCTCTTGTTAGGAAGAGAAAAGACATCAATGAGGTTCCTCCAAAAATCAGGGTCTTTGGTGCAAAAGTTTTTGAACATAAAATGGTGCCCTCTTCTGGAATCATTAGAGTTCAGTAAAATTAAAGGAGAGTGATCAGAGCAATCCAGATCATCAACCTTATAGAATGAATTGGGGTAGGTTTCAAGCCAATCATCATTGATAAGAACACGTCAAGTTTGATGTGAATTGGATTTAACTGTTGTTGGTTGTGTCATGTGAAAAAATGTCCAACCGAGGAGAGGTCTTGCAAACCAGATTTAAAAACCATGCTATTAAATTCACCCATTTTAGGAATTGAAAGTGCAGTACCACCAACTTTTTCATTCAAATTCCTGCAGCAATTAAAGTCACCGATAATGGCCCAAGAGGTGTTAATTGATCCCCCAATGTTCTGAATATCTTTCCACAACGTTTTCTTTTCAGAGTTTGAATTGCTAGCATAGATTGCAGTAATAACACAAATAGTAGTAGACCCAACAGTAATAGTACCATGAATAAATTGGCTAGACATGCGGATAGGTGTAAAATTAACAGAGTCTTCATTCCACTTAATACAAATACGACCAGGACTGCAAAACCTGAAATTGTCGCAGGAGGCTTCTTTTGGGAAAATTTTGTGGGTGGCTTGCAACCAGTGGTTGTTCTAGTTGTTATTGGTAATTTTGGCTTCAAGAATAAAGAACAGGTCAATGTTATTGGCTCAGGCTAGATTTTTGCAGCTTATCACTTTGTCTGGGTTGTTAAACCCACGAATGTTCCAGGCTGCTATGTTTGGGAGGGTCATTGGGACTTAGAGTTTGGGGTAGAGGCCTTTTTAGCTTGCTTGCCTATGGTTTGTTTTTTATTTTGGGTTGTAGGTTGTTGTATTTTGGTGGTGTTATTTCTAGATGTGGAAGCGTCAGTGGTTGAGTTAGGGATGGTAGTAGGGCTGTGTTGTTCGCGAACATAAACGAGCTGAACGCATTAGTGTTCAAGCTTGTTTATTTAAGAATCGAGTATTTAAAATATTGTTCAAGTTTGTTTGTTAGTTAATTAAACGATCACGAACGAGCTTTAATCAAACCCAACAACGAGTAGTTCGTCGAACGTTTGGTTCGCTTGCAGCCCTAGATGGTAGGTTGATGAGTGCGGGGTGAAGTTTGTGGTGGACCGCGTTGATTAGGGTTGCTGACATCAGAACTGGAGAGGGTGGCATTAGAAGAGTGGTGGTTGTGGGGAGAAGGAGGCCTTATCTCTTCAATTTTGTCCTGATCATTCAAGACATCAAATTTGCTTTTTAGGCTAATGAGGTTGGGATCTTTAGGTTGAATCATAATGTCATTGATGTCCTGGATGTCTCTAGAAGGGGAATTTAGGTTTGGCAAAAGGGTTGCAGTATTTGGGTTTTGTGGTTGGTATTGGGTTTGACTATTTAATTGGGTTGAGCTTGTGCTATGAAGATTCATTTTTAGTGATTGTGGAGGCGTAGGGATTAATAACCTGGGAGGAGGAGTTAGTCGAGGCTTGTGGCTAGTACTCCTTCCTTTAGGCTTGGGTGCAGTTTGGGGTTTTAGGATCGGGTCTTTTGGGCAGAGAGTTGGGGGGTGCATGATAGAGCCGCACTGCGAGCAACGTTCAGGTTTCCAATCATATTGTATTCTAAGAGGAGAAGTTTTACCGTCTACACAGTAGTAAATTTCATCAGGGAGAGTGGAGTTACTAGTGATTTGAACACAAACTTTCGCAAATGTCAACCTTGTCTTGGCTGCGGTTAAAGCATCAACAGCAAGAGGTATGCCTATACAGCTTGTGAGTTTAGAGATATCTTCCGGGGTCCAGAGAGAGCGGCAGGTTCAAGATCTTAATCCACAGGGGAATGGAAAGGAACTCCTCACGCTTAGGAACAAAGTCTGGTGTCCATTTCTGCAAAATGAACGGCTTCCCGAAAAAGAACCACGGCCCACCGGACCATGCAAGCTCGTATTCCTCAAGGGCCGAAAACTTAAGAAGAAAGAAACCTTCATCCATAGTAAGCATAGAAAGGTCTCCTTTAAGCGCCCACGTCTTTTTGATCACCGATAAAAGGGCTTCATAGAATGGTCATTTCTGAATCGGGTAGCCAACCAACGAAAAGGATCACTCGGGAGCTCCAGCGTTGAACTGTTCACTAGTAAACTAGGCAGTGAGATTTTGTGCAGGGATAAAGAAGAGAGAGTGGGAGAACTCAGTTGAGACTTGTGGGGTGGTAGCTAATAAGTTCTTCCAGAGGGGAAGAACAGCAGAGGTTGGGGGAAAAGTAGTAGTGGAGGAAGAAGAAAGCGGCGGGTAGTCAGCTTCGGCCATGGGGAAAGTTCCCCCAGCCGAAAACGACGGGAAAGCACCAAGAAGCGGGAACCAGCAAACCCTAGCAGAGCTGAGAAGATATTTTTCTCTATAATAATTTTTTAGAACTATTTTCCTTTCTTCTCATTCCCCCACTCTGAATTTTGATTATTTCTTCTTCCTTGATCAATTTAACTGCCTTACCATCTTCAATTAGCATATATTCTCCTTCTTTGAAGTTTAGTTTAATGTATGGTTTTTTGAACCATAAATTACCAAGTGCAGGCTTTTTTGCAATCTTTTCAGACATTTGATAAAAAAATCTAGTTAGTTGTTGTCTCTTTAACATTCTCTGAATCCAATGTCGGTAAAACCACTTTCTTATATGCTTTTAGAATAACATTTTTGTTCTGTAAACTCAAGGAATTCGCATTTATCACACTGTTGCCAGGGATTGCATTTGAATTTCTAAATCTTTGAATAAAAATGTTCATTCTCAAAGACGAAGCTTCATTGTCATAATTTTTTTCTGGTGAGTCTACCCTTTTCATGACACAGAGTGTTTTAATCTCAGCTTCCATAGAAACATTTTTTCCTTTACCTTCCACCTGTTTGAAAATGTTGGAAACATTACTAATATTT